GAGTGGAGAACCCTGGAAGCGTCGTACGAGCTTTTCCTTCATTTTTTTTGGCATTCGTTTGGTTGAAACGGAACCAAACTGCTTCAAGTCATCGTATTTCCTAGCCCCTGCAGACTTTAGAGTAACGGATTCGTTTAGTTTCTCACGAGCAAGATTTAACTCCTGCGATTCCATAATTTTCTAGTGGTTAAAATAAATCTGATCACCAAAGGTTGAAGGGTATGTATCGTGTATGGTATGATGAAAGTACATGGGCACCAATTCGAGCCCAACTTCGCTCAGATTTCAACGCGTTTGACGAGTTGACCAGAGCGCAATTCATCTCGGATGCAATTGCACTTAGAGAGTGCGTACATTTCATAGCTTAATTTCTCAATCTGTACCCAAACATCAGTGTTCAGCACGATATTTGTGGCTGTCTGATTCATTGAAGAGATGAAAGTATCCTAAATTTATAGTCAAACACATAAGAAGTGTAGTCGCTTAGTGTTATGCTTGTTTTGCACCAAAGATTTATTTTATGCATATGAATGTCTGATATGAATATTTATATTTTCGACTTCATGACTAAAGTACAAATACTAATGGCCTTAACGATTCTCATGATGACCTACAAATGAACTACGTGATGAATTACTGAACTACAAGTAGTAATGTCCATAACTTTTTATGTGTACAATTGTTCAGAAGAGGATCACTGCCGTGGTCCCGTGTCATCGAATTCGCATCGTATCTGAGTAAAGAAACCGAATTCGCCCCACATTACGCATTCAAAAGTGTTCGGGATCAATTGATGAGCGCTTTCAAGAACACCGCAGATACACCTAAAATAAATGTTGGTCACAGAATTGCTCACAACAAACTCACGCAAATTTGTGCATCATCTGATCTGTCTTCGTCCTAATATCTTTATGAATCTAATTCGTTGATCTGATTTAATCTTGACTGTTGATCGCTGCTCTAATCTAATACACATCTTCATTTTTCTGATCATCTCATTCGATGGATTCATTTATGCTTTGGCTGAATGATTTTTTCGTTTAGAAGTACATTCAGCGAACATTCGAAACTGCATATGATATCGGATGGGCGAATAACACCGACTGGACTATGGCGTAAGTGTGTTTGTTCCTGAAGAATGACTTCCAATTAAGTGATTATCACATCTCATTAATAACAAATCGCAGACTGCATCACATGTACATCTAGGCTAGGGAGGAAGGATTCTTATTGGTTCTAGCATTACTTTATCGTGATGTTATCGTGCAACAATAGTGAAGGATCACTTCAAGAAGTTGCCCTGATGATTTTTAAATTCAAGAACTGCAACGAAAATTCCTTGACCATGAATACAGATGGAGACTGTCGTTGTAAAGCTATGAGAGGGTATCCGCGTATTCTGATACATCTTTTCAGAGCATTAGCAACATTAGCCACTAATGGTATGTGTAAAACAGCGCTTCCAGAATGTTTGGAGAAAACGAAAACACTATTCGAACAATTTTTGACGAACTGTCAATATTCAACCACTGGAACAGGCCTGTGCAACAGGTGATGGGTCATTTCTGCCTTTGACATGTCATTTCTGTTACGTTTTGTCCGTCCTGATAGTTTAGGCATATTGTGAGGCAAGCTCGAATATAATCATTCCAGGTTTGAACTGTTTGTTGACTGCAGCCAGTTGAATACTATTACTGGCTATGAAGCGTTTTCACATCACTTTTGAGGACAGATTTTTGTCAAATTTGCAGTTGCTAACTGATTCCTTTCGACAAAGCAGGACTAATCTAAGCATTTGACGTTGTTCTTTCAGTGAGGTTCGTCCAGATGTACGAAGAACGCAATACTGTTATGGTCTAGCACAAACACCTACCGGTCACGAACTGGTTAACCGGTTGTACGAGTGGTTCAAAACAAACTCACATTACTTCCACCGTGATGCTGACAATCTACTTAATGCAATGGCATGCACAACAGATGATGATAAAATGAACAGGTAAGCAGTGATAAACTTTATCATCTCCTCGAACATCTTGTGGTATTTCGGTGTTTGTTACGTATAGATGGTCTATCGACTAACCTGGTGCTGAACCCCATGCAACATACAATTTAGTTCATTTTAATATGCAAACTTTTGTCGTTAGGTTATTCGCTTCTCTGACATTGGATTTATGATACTGATAATTTGAATTTTCAGTTTCATCTCTGATATAGTCGAAGGAAAATATCCGGAGAGTGCGCTCCATATGGTGGCCGTTCACGACACAACAGATCATGTTCTATGGAATTATTTCAAGCTCAACACCGAACAGGTTATCTACGGTGTGCCGAGCTTCAACAGCTATATGACAGCTGCTGTTGGAACTTGGAATCAAGCGGAGAATATCAAAGAGGTTGGGACATAGTCATTTGGGTCATGATAAAGTTGACATTCGATGGAATTGATGCAAGGACAAGCATGACGAATGCACTTTCAGATGGACGATTTCATTGCTGGAATCGAGCTAAGTGGAGATAATTTGGCGGTGATAAATGAACTTAAGAAGAACATTCAGCAAAACATCGATTGGCTGGCGAAGAACCGAGATGAGATTATGACGGCAATTGAACAAGAACTTCAATAGAGAATGATATCTGTTGCAATTTTGTATTCATTATCTCGATATTGCATTAAGTGATACAGTGAAAACGGAGTGCTGTATGAATTGTTTTCGCTTGTTACAATTTAATTTTATTACTGTTAATCAAGTGTGATATCATTTAGAGTAATTCTTTGCCGAGCATGCGTCAAATTCTCAACAACGAATCATTTAATGACAACTAATTTTTCAAAAGATTGATCAGTCACTTAATTAAATTGACCTTCTTCTTCTTTTATGTGGAAATATTGCGGTAAAACCTCATAAATGTGTCTTCGACATTATAAAAACCTTATTTTCTCCGGTTCATTTCAATTTTTTATACGAGCTTGCATTTCCTCATTGAACGTCTTTCGTACGATCGTATTGTCAGCTCAAATCAAATCAAATCAAATTAAATTAAATCAAATCAGAAGTTATCTGACGATGGGAAATTTGAGTGAGACGGCAGAGTTTCATTAGAGAATTTATTATTGAAGTGAGGGTATGACATTTTAACTGGATGTTTCTCAAATGAGATAACTGCGTTAAGTAAATGCTATTCGACGAGTTTCACCAGACAAAAACTGCGTCAATACGTTTTCATCTCGTGTTCGGAGTGGTTATGATGAGGAATGTCAGTGAGCTGACACGGGATGGTATTTTTTTCAATCTCTTCATATTTTTTAAAAGAAACAACAACTTTACAATCTTAAGCACACAAAAACGAACTGAATGTTCACAGTTCACAAAGCATCCTCTTTTGCACTTTTGCACTTAACAAGCTCTTTTTGTTTGCACTTTGATTGAAATGTACGTAATATGAGAGCTGAACCTCACATGATCGATGCAAACAATCCGGAAGCCACAGATGTTCGTGATGGAATCGACACCCTGTCACTGAAATCGAATAAGTCTATTGAAGTCGATTGAATCACATTCCAACGTTGAGAACGTCACACAAAAATATGCTGAAAGTTCTGACGGCTGTGGTGCTGAGAGAATGCTTCCTTCCATTTAGTGTCTATGAGATCTGATTCTTTGCTAAAATGCAGCCCAATCATTGAACTATGTGGAACGGAATGGCACGATTCAATTGAAGCTTTCGCCTTGAAGGTGGTGTGGAATGGAACTTTACAAATGTAATTAACTTTGAGTGATTAAAAACTCAGATCAACAGAGTCAAAATGAACGAACAGTTGGTAACACTTAAGCGATTCCTTAAAACGGCTTAGTTATTGCTTCAGACAGAAGAGATCATCTATATTGAAAGAATTCTCATTACATAAACAACGGAATGCTTCTTCGTTCCGTAACTTTAATGTAGATTCATTATGTTCACAAACTTGTGTAGCTCATAAATTT